ATTGGCTTGACATTGTAACCAACATGAGAACATCAATTGATCTAGGGGTGTCTCACATCAGCTATCTTAGCAGAAGTCTGGGTGAGTCCAGATAAGATAGATACTTTTCCTTTTAAGGACTTTATATGTACTTTATGCTTAAGAGATGTGAGGTGTTTTAGAAATCTACAAGTAGTCCATTTCATCTTAACAAGGGATAGAGAACAGTTAGGAATTTAGATGAAGTACTAATGAGGGACTACATTGTTTTTCTGTAACCCTTTGGGAACTTTGAGTGTCACAGATTTCACTGATCATGGTCATAGCAAATTATTTTGGGGATTAGCAGGCATGATAAGGTAAAGTATAGGGTCTGTAACAGTAGCAATACTGAAGATAATGGGCAGAGCCAGATGGCCTATAGCCAATAGATTACACCCAGACACATTCAATTAGTCAAATAAATAAAATAGTTTAAGTCTTTTTGTTTTGTAGTGGAAGATTGCCCTTTTGTGACAACAATAAGTAAATAATTCCCCATGCCTAGAAACTGGGTGTTTGTTTTAAATTTTGTAGTAGAGATCACATCTTAACTTTGACATAAATTAGCATGTGACTGAGTAAAAATGTCTAGCTGTAGCCTTCTCACCTCAAAATGGAAATACTACCTTTCTTATGGGTAGTATTAAGTTATGAAAGAAGCAACATAAGTGATCTGGAATGGTTTCTGGCAAATAGATTGAATACTCAGTATTTGACTACATCATGCTTCCGGGTATGTGGGGTACATTGGCAAGCAAGAGATAAATACTATATCTTTTGTCCTTGCTTTCTTTTAGATTTATTACTTATTTTCCCCTTCACTGTTATAAATTATTTTATTATTACTTTTGTTGTTACCATATTTATAACATACATCCCTGACTGCCTGATAAGCTTAATGTAAATTGGCTTTTACACTTAAAACACTTTTTAATTGCATTTATACCCTCCCCTCTGCCCATGTGACACATGAGTTTTTGTTGTTGTAATTTTTAGTCCTACATATTTAAGATCCCCAAGATATGGCTATTATGTTGTTGCATATTTATTCTTTTTTTAAAATTTTTTTATTGGTTGTTCACAACATTACAAAGCTCTCGACATATCATATTTCATACATTAGATTGAAGTGGGTTATGAACTCCCAATTTTACCCCAAATGCAGATTGCAGAATCACGTCGGATACACATCCACAATTTTACATAATGCCCTATTAGTAATTGTTGTATTCTGCTACCTTTCTTATCGCATATTTATTCTTCATGTACTTTTTTTCTTTTTTATTCTCTTGAGGCGCAAAGTGGGATTATTTTCCTTATACCTGAAGAACTTCCTTTAATGTGTTCTCTAGTTTGGTTTGCAAGAGACAAATTATTTTTGGTTTCTAAAAAGATTTATTTTGCTTTCATTTTAAAATAAAATTTCATTGTAGAATTTTAGGTTTACATCATTTTATTTTAGCATTTGAAAACTTTTCATTGTATTATCTTCTTGCTTCCATTGTTCTTGTTGGGAGATTAGCTGTTGATGTAATATTTGCTCTTGTGAGGTAATATTTCTTATTCTCTGGTTTCTTATGTTTGTTTTTAGTTTTTGCAGTTTACCTATGTATCTAGGGGTGATTTTATTTATATTCTTTTCATAGGGACTTGTAGATCTTCTTGAATTATGGCTTGAAGCACCTGTCAGAAAATATCAACATCTAGATATCTGAGAATCTTTTTGTTTTCTGTCTTTAATCAAATTTTGCCCTTTTATGGTTTATAGTTCTGCATTTTATATCTAATTGACTTCCATACATTTTAAATATAGGTTTTAGTGATGATTTGTGGCTCTAGCAAATGTCTTCCTTCTCCAGAAGAAATTCACTTTTGCCACTAGCTATAAGGGTTGGTTTAGATCATATCTTTGGGATTCTTTTTCATCTTTCCCCAAAATCCAAACATCTTTGTAGCTTACTGATGATTTCAAGCAGTTTTTTTTTTAAAGAGAGAGACACACACACAGAAAGAGAGAGAGAGAGAGAGAGAGAGAGAGAGAGAGAATTTTAATATTATTTATTTTTTTAGTTTTCGGCAGACACAACATCTATTGTTTGTATGTGGTGCTGAGGATCGAATCCGGGCTGCACGCGTGCCAGGCGAGTGCGCTACCGCTTGAGCTATATCCCCAGCCCCGATTTCAAGCAGTTTTAAAAACAAAATTTGTCTAACTTTTCCTTTCTTTTACATGGAACATTGGTCTTAACCAGTAAAAAATAAATTTTATTCTAAAAGCAATAGGAATGTAGGTCAGAGGATGTGGCTTAGTGGTAGAGAGCTTGCCTAACATGTGTGAGTCTCTGGGTTCAATTCCCAGTATTGCACTTTTTTAAAATTTAAGAATGATAAAAGCAATAGGAAGGCATTAAAGAGTTTTAAGTGAAGGATTGACACAATCTGATTCCCATTTTTAAATAATTTAAACTTTTAATTTGTTCTGTTGTCTCTTCCCCTAAAATGTTTCTAAAGTTTCCTTTCATCTATGTATTATTCTGATATTCTTGTCTAAACTCTAGTTACTAGCTTGGATTATTGTTTTTAATCTCACTTTCTAAGTCCTGTACAAGACATGTAACATATCAATGTTAGGTTCTTTTTCCTGAGATCCAGTTTCCTTTATGTCTAGATTTAGATCTTAAAAATAACTATACTATCCTTTTAGTAATATTACTAGTTACATTTAATAGAAAAGCAAATCAGTTTAAGGTGATTAAGTAATTTGATCAAGATTTACACAGAAAGATACATGTTGAATCTAAGCCTCTTTAGTTTCAGAACCTAAATCAGTTATTTTATATTGTTAATTCATACAGATGTACCTTGATTTATGTTGAGGTTACATGCTGATAAGCAGATTTTTAAATAAAAAATGTCAAACTGAAAAACATAGTTTAGCAACGTAGGACTTAGCTAAATTTAAGTAATAATAATATTAAAAATTTAAAACTTTTGTTGTTCACATTTATCAATGTCAAAGTTGTTTGACCTAACCTGATTAAAGAAAGCTTTCCAAAAAGTAACTGGGGCTGTCAAAATGGCAGAAACCATACTGAGAATGAGGCTATAGAGGAGGAAGCCTTTTTCTGTGATCATGTATTTATTTATTTATTTGTTTTCAGTTAGAGACTCACTTCATCACATATTCCAAAAGTCCTGAATTTGAGTAAGAAAGGCTATATTTAGGTAAAATGACATGAGCAAATATATTTTCATTTTCTTGCACATATATTAATTCCATGATTATTCTTTATAGGACTCTTAGGCATGAGGGGAATACAAAAAGTTACCATGTTCGTGGAGGGAAAAGAAGCCATCTTTCCAGATGTGGTTGCTAACAGATACTATACAACAAAGACATGAGCCAAGAAAAGCCCCAGCATGGCTCAAAGTAGAGCTAAGATTTCAGAAGGTGCTTGATTTCTTCCCAAACTGAGTCATGTTACTACATTCATTTTAGTTTTGTTTTCACCTATTTTTTTAGAGATGTTTGGGACTGGTCTGTATTATTACTTATACTATTCTAGAATATTAATCTTTTCTAAAAATATTAGAGCATACTAGATGATTAAAAAGAGAATATAATATATAATTTGATGCTTTGTGATTTTTTTATTTATCTATATATGTATATTTTAAAAATTTAAATTCTTTTTGCTGCTAGGGATAGAACCCAGGGCGTCACATATGCTAAACATATGCTTTACCCCTGAGCTGCATCCCTAGTCCCAATATATTTTTTAAGGCATGAAAGAAATTTTTTTTCTCTACTACAGATTCCATGTTTGATATGGTGTTTCCTAGGTACTATGATATTCTTATTTGGGGGTGTTTTTAGAAACACTGAATACTTCAAGCACTTATTTCTCCTGGGATACATATATCCCTGTAGGTACAGGCATGGTTTTGGAGTATGGAGAAACAGAACTGTCTTTGTTTTGTTTTAAATAAAATTGCTACTGATGTTCTACCCATTGATCTAAGCCCCAATATCTGCTGCTGACACATGAGGTTCAGTTATTAAGTTCCATTTCAAATATGTCTTAAAATTTTTATATGATTTAAACCTACCTAAAATATTTGAACTGGTGAATTCCCTATGTATCCTAGAGTGATTGTTTTGAATTTTCTAGATTTGAAATTTTATAACTTTAGATCTGTTTGATAGAACAGAAAAAATTGACTAAAGTGGTATTGATGACTTGTAAGAGTTCATTAACAGAAAAAAAAATTCCCTTTTTTAGGTTTAGGCTTTGGTTTTTTAACTTGGCTTGCTTGGTTAAAATTGTTTTTTTTTTTTTGTCATTTCTCAGCTACATATCTTTAAAAGTTTTCTTAGCCTCTCGGATCACACTATTCTCATGTATAAAATGGTATGAAAATGATGATATACTGTTTTAGAGTTATTACAAGAATCACTACATGTTAAGTATTTAGTATTGCCCTGCCCTTAGTAAGTATTCATTGTATCATTATTACTTATAGTAATAAGTAGTTTATCAATGAAATTTTATCTGAAGTGCCCCAAATATAGTGGAGTTTGCAGAGATAATCATCTGTCATTCCTGATATTCTGTCCAGTAATACCATTTTCGGAGGTTATTCAAAGTTTGAATAAGCTATTGCACTCTCTCAATATATTATTTCTATCTGTACCAACTCAATATATGGCAGTCTGTGGTCTGAATACTAATTATTAGAAACAAACACATGTTTGTTTAAAACTCACATTGGAAGAGGGAAGGGTAGATTTTGGCACAAACATGGGAGGATTAGAGACTTTTGAAGAGGTAGCACTAAAATTTGGCTTCTTAGCTGTAGGGAGGAATATCAGGGAGCTCTGGTTTGAATGGAGGAGCAGTAATGAGCCCCAGGTGTCTTCAGGTTTTGCCTTTGTTGGACTCTGACCCGGAGGAGGTTAGATGGACAGAGGGCATATACTGCATCTTGGAAGTCACTAATATTTCTAAGCAATAAGTATCATCGCTTTGATTACACAGCCTTGCTGAAATGTTGATGGCCTAGGGTTTCACAGGTGTAGTGTAATACTAAATTGGCCATGACCACAAACAGGATGTCATTGTCATTCCTTTCAAATAGCAGAGCAGTAATTTGGCAATGTGTGGACACCTGGATCTCTGCCTTCTTTAACCTGAAATAAAAGGGAGAGGAATAGTTTCAGTCTAGTTTTGTCTTTACAGATCTGACCCATGGCTCTATCTCAGAAGCATCATATTTGGGTTATGTGCTTATATATATGTTTGTTTTTATTTTTTAGAAGAGAAGCTTCCTGAGGAAATTATTTTTCTATGTTTTGCACAACAATGTGGGGGCTACATAAATGTTAAATACTAATAAAAATAATGCCAGTAATTTACTGGTAAGACATTTGGTGAGTCACCACTAGCTATGTGTTCACAGTGTGTAAACTTGGTGATATAAATGGATCATCTTATTTCTTACATGAGTTTGACTATTAGGATATTTAATCACTGGAATCAATGTCAAGAAATAGCACTTTTAAAAATGTTTTCACTTTTAATTTTAGAAATTTAAGAAGAGTTAAAAGAATAGAACAAACATGTTTATATACCCTTCACTCAGAGACTTTATCTGAGGTTGCCCAATTGTCTCAGTAATGCCCTTTTTGGTGGAGGGCTTTGATTTCAGGATCAGTGTGCTACCTGGTTGTCTCATTTATTCTGGAACTGTTCCTCCTACCTTCCTTGACTTTCTTGGCTGTGTTGTTTATGAAGATTATAGGCCAGTTGTTTGGGGAACTATTTCTGAATTTGGGTTTATCGAATGTTTCCTCATATTTATATCCAGGTTAATTCAATTTTTTGACAAAATTTCACAAAATAATGCTTTGTTGCTTTCCTTGCATCCTATCATTTGCAAAGTGTCAATTTTAACCCCCATTAGTGGTGATGTTAATTTTATTACTTAAATAAGGTGGTATCTATGAGGTTTCCATATTGTAAGGGTACACTATTTTCTCACATTTTGGAATTAGTAATTATTTCTTAATTATTTCTGTTTCACAGCTGACTTTTGCCCATTTATTTTAGCATTCATTGTAATTTCTTGCCTGATTAACTTATTGGTTGCAAAAATGCTTATCTTACTAATGTCTTCATTCCTTTGACATTACTTATTATTAGACTCCCATGTATGTACATATTTATGTCATTGAGGATTCATGAGTTTCTATTTTACTTAATGAACTATAGTTTAGTACTATCATTATTTATTTTGATAATAAAATTACCTTAACTTTGGCTGGTAGGCATGAATCCTTGCAAATGGTTCTGTATCCTTTTGACATGTCCCATCATTCTTTTGAGTAACTACTTTCTGGCTCAAATGGTACAAGTTCATTTCCTTGTCCCAGGACTAGGATCAGCCATTTTCCCAAGAAACCCCATTTATTTTAGTAGAATTATATTTATAAACCCATATCTAGATACTACACGTGCTCATTGCTACTGAGATGCTATGGCTTGTGGGCCTTTCTCAATGGAAAAATGAAATTTTTATATATGTATACATGTATGTTTATACACATGTATGTTTACACATACATATACAGAAAAAGGGCACATGCACAGTAACAGTATGTATGTACATAATAAACACACACCCATATTTGTTTACTTATGAGTATACACCAACATCTCCAATTCCTATTTCCTCCCACCACAGGTGTCATTATAGCTTTCTTTCCTTGCCATAGTGTCTTCCTTCTCTGACAATAAGATGATAATGCTTCCAGTATCTTAATATAGTAACTACTCAGTTCTCCTATATGTAGCCAATCTCTAAAGCTTGCTAGAGTGCCTTTATACTCTCTTTTACCTGTATAATTGCTTTTTTCTGTGAACAGTAAGTATGGGGTAGAGAGGAATAGAAGTAAGATGAAAGGAAGGAATAGAATAATATATTTTAAAACACCATGATCAAATGGGTTTCATCCCAGGGATGCAATGTTGTTTCAACACACAGAAGACAATAAACCTATTACACTGCACAAATAGATATATAGGCAAGAACTGCATGGTTATCTCAATAGATGCAGAAAAAGCATTTGACAAAGTATAGCACCCATTCATTTTTAAAACACTAGAAAAATGGTATTGAAGGAATTTACCTCAACATTGTAAAGGTGATATATGACAAACTCAAGGCCAATATTATTCTGAATGGAGAAAAACTGAAGGTATTTCCTCTAAAAACAGGAACAAGACAAGGATGCTCATTTCACCACTCCTATTCAACAAAGTCCTTGAAATACTATCCAGAGCAATCAGGCAAGAGAGGGAAATTAAAGGAATACAAATATGAAAAGAATATTCAAATTATCTGTTTGCAGACAAAATGATCCTATATTTAGAAGACCCAAAAAGCTCCACCAGAAAATTTTTAGACTCATAAATGAATTAAACAAAGTAGCATGATATAAAATTAACACCCATAAATCAATCACGTTGCTATACTCCAATGATGAATACGCTAAAAAAGAAATTAGAAAAAATACCCCATTCACTATAGCCTCAAAAACCAAACATATAGACAATCAAAAAAACAAACTAAAACACTTAGGGAATCAATAAAACAAAAGAGGTGAAGAACCTTTACAATGAAAACTATAGAACACGAAAGAAAGAAATTGAAGACCACAGAAGATGGAAAGACCTCATATGTTCTTGGATAGGCAGAAGTAATATTGTCAAAATGGCCATATTACCAAAAGCTCTATACAGATTCAATGCAATTTCCATCAAAATTCCAATGATGTTTTTCACAGAACTAGAAAAAAGCAGTTATGAAATTCATTTGGAAAAATAAGAGACTCAGAATAGGCAAAGCAATCATTAGCAAGAAAAGCAAAGCTAGAGATAACACAATACTGGACATCAAATTATACAACAGAGCTATAGTAACAAAAACAGAATGGTATTCACACCAAAACAGGTATGAAGACCAATGGAATAGACTAGAAGACACAGAGAAACCCCGACATGAATACAGTTATCTGATACTAACCAAAGGTGCCCAAAACATACATTGGAGAAAAGATAGCCTTTTTAACAAATGGTGCTGGGAAAACTGGAAATCTAAATGTAGTAGAATTAAATTTAACCTTCTTACCCTGAACAATATTCAACTCAAAGTGGATCAAAAATCTAGGAATTAGACTAAAAATCCTTCACCTGCTAGAAGAAAATGAAGGCCCAATACTCCAAAATATTGGCTCAGGAATTGACTTCCTTAACAAGACTCCTAAAGCGCAAGAATTTAAAAAAAAAATTAATAGCCAGGAATCAAATTAAAAAGCTTCTTCATAGCAAAGGAAACAATTAAGATTGTGAAGAAAGAGCTAACAGAATGGGAGAAAATATTTGCCACCTGCTCTTCAGTTAGGGCATTAATATCCAAGATATATAAAGATTTTTTTTAAACTTAACACTAAAAAACAAAAACAAAAAAACACAACCCAATCAATAAATGGGCAAAGGGACTAAACAGACACTTCTCAAAAGAAGAAATGCAGCCAGGCATGGTGGCACATCCCTGTCATCCAAGGGACTCAGGAGTCTGAGGCAGGAGGATCACAAGTTCAAAGCAGCCTCAGAAACTTAGGAAGACCCTGTCTCAAAAAATAAAAATGGCTGGGGATGTGGCTCAGTGGTTAAGCACCCGTTGGTTTAATCCACAGTACCAAATTAAAAAAAAAAAAAAAAAGAAGAAGAAATGCAAATGGTCAACAAATATATGAAAAAATGTTCAATATCTCTAGCAATTAGAGAAATGCAAATTAAATGAACTATATTGAGAGTTCATTTCATTTCAGTCAGAATAACAATTATCAAGAATACAAGTAACAGTAAATGTAGGCAAGGATATAAGGGAAAAGACACAACATTATTAGTAGAACTTCAAATTAGTGCAGTCACTCTGGAAAATAGTGCAGAGATTCCTCAAAATACTAGGAATGGGGGGCTGGGGTTGTAGCTCAGGGGTGGAGTGCTTGCCTAGCACGTGTGAGGTGCTGGATTCGATCCCCAGCACCATATACAAATAAATTTTTTAAAAAGTAGGTATTAGGTCCAACTACAACTAAAAAAAAAAATTTAAAAAAAACTAGTAATGGACCACCATATGACCCACTCCTTGGTATACATCCAATACACTTAAAATCAACATACTACATGAAATAGTCACATTAATGTTTATAGCAGCATCACAATAGCCAAACTATAGAGCCAGCCTTGGTGCCCTTCAAGAAATGAATGAATAAAGAAAATGTGGTATATATGCACAATGGAGTATAACTCAGCCATAAAGAAGAATGACATGGCATTTGCCAGTAAATGGATGGAACTGGGGAATATCATACTAAGTGAAAGAAACCAGTCACAAAAGTCAAAGGTTGAAAGTTTTCTCTGGTATGCAGAAGGCAATCCAAAATAAAAAGGGGAGAGATTTAAAAAAAAAAAGGAATAGAAAGAATAGACAAAGGGGAATGAAGGGAAAGGAGGAGATGGGATAGGGAAAGACAGAGGAATGAATCTTAGCTAACTTTCCTATGTATATATATGAATATACCACAGTGAATCTCACTATTATGTACAGCCACGGGACAGTAATTTTTTTTTAAAAAAACTATAGATAGCAGAAAGAGAGTAATCTTTAAGATTACAAAGAGGCAATCAAAACCATTATAAAATCTATAAAATCTACTTTTGTACAAAATCTGCAAAAGCTACTTTCTGTCTACATAATTCATAAAATTTTAAAGCATATACCACTTTCCCAATGGTGTATTTTACATTACAAAAATATTTCTTTATAGTTTACTAAGCCATAGTATTACTTATCTCTAAAGTCATAGATGTTTATTTGATATGGAGCAGGCATACTGGATCATTGTCTTGACAAGGATCTCAGACCTGTTGAAAGCTGGTTGCAACTTCGGGTGGAGCCTCCCTGATAGGTGGATTGTGATTCTATCTTGCATATAGCACAGTGACACTTTCCTTGTGACTTACAAGTTCACAGGGTTCATAGGCAATTCAGGTAAACTCAAATATTTAAGTAGTCATAGGGAAAACTATTTGCATATTGGTAGGCAGTCCTCAGCTTGCTATTCATTTTTATTATCTAGAAACTCCCAGTCATCCTTTTGGATCTTTAATCAGGTACTATTACCTTTCAGTACTTACTTTGGATCCAGATGGTTTTCCCACTTCTACTTTTAAACCAGAAAGTTATTAATTCACTTATACATTTCTTTTCAGAATCTTTATCCTATTCTCTTTGGTTTCACTTGTAATGGGTTAAAACATAAACACCATGTGAGTAGATAAGAATTTTTTAAATTTGTTTTCAAAGCTATTAAAGGAAAACACACTTCTGAGATTTCTCTTCTAAAATGCTTTGGTAAGAAGTATGCTATGATAAAATATTTTCACAATCATTTCATCAAGCACAAAATTCACCAAATTGTAATACTAATCTTATTATACAGAATCTCAGGAAATATGTAATAAATATTCTTTTGTATTTAGTGATAAAATATTAAAACTGATAAAAGGGATTTTAAAATAATGATTAAATTTTAGCTAAGCTGGTCATTTGACAAACATTTACTGAAAGCATCTGAAACAAGAGCAACAGTAATGATAGTGATAATAAAGCATAGCAGGTGGCCTCACTTCCTTACTACTCACAACTCTTATGAAATACATATAATTAAACCATAAAAACCACTGGGGACCATCTTGTAAGATGGTTTAGGGAGACCTTTGTCCTCAGATTTATTAGCTAATGGTATTGTATAATGATTTGTCAGATAGTTGAGTTTTTATTTTAGATGTTTAGGAATAACTAGTTAAAACTACAGAGTCTAGTAGGGAAGTTAGAAGTTGGTACTTTTTTAAAAAATTTCTTCACAATAACCTGCTAGTATGGTCTTATGTTACGTAGAATGCCTAGTGTGTCTTTATCTCCACAGGTGAAATGAAATGCCAAACATAGAATTTTATTTTGAAATCCAGCAGTTGCATAAACCTATTGAAATATCATCATTGCTAAATTTTACTGGCATAAATATTACTTAGCAGAGATACTATTATGAGTTGTAGGTAATTCTGTCCATTCATTTGAACTTTGATCAAGAAACATTGGCAGATTCTGTATTTCTTACTGCCAATATCTAAAATAAACAGTTTTAAATTATAATATCTGCAATCATAATAAATGTCATTGATCTTTTAAAATTTAAATATTTTTTAAAGAGAGAATTTTTTAATATTTATTTTTTAGTTTTCAGTGAACACACATCTTTATTTTATTTTATGTGGCGCTGAGGATCGAACCCAGCACCCCACACTTGCCAGGTGATCACGCTACTGCTTGAGCCACATCCCCAGTCCTAAAATTTAAAATTTTAAGGAATAGAAGCTATATGAGATGCACCAAGTCACAATGATAATAAGTATGAATGAAATGAAAACTTGGCTGAGAATCTGCTGGGAATAAGTTTGTAAGATTTTAAGAAAGAGACAAAACAGGGATTAGGGATGTAGCTCAGTGATTGATACTTGCCTGCTATGTGTGAAGTCCTGGGTTTGATTTCTAGAACCACAGGGAAGGCAGTTGTCATTTTTAACTAATCAAATATGAAAACTAGTTTGGAGAGCTTTCTAGAGTGACCAGCTAGTCCAGGTTTGCTTGGGATTTTTCTGATTTTAGCACTGAAAATCCTGAGCACTGCCCCACCTTATCCCTAGTGCCAGAGAAACTAAGAGGTTGGTTATCCAGATCACTAAGTTTGTGTGTAATAGTTTTAATAGCTGCTTAATCACTTGTGAAACAGTAATTTTTCTTTTCAGGGGAAAAGAAAGAGGTTAAAAGTATTTCTTTTTTTAATAACTTTTTTTAGTTGTAGATGGACATAATACTTTTAATTAATTAATTTATTTATTATTATTATTGTTATTTTGTAATGTGGTACTGGATTGAACCCTGTGCCTCACACTGAGCTACAACTCTAGCCCCTGAAAGTATTTCTTTTTAATATGGTTTTGGCTTACTTAAAAAACAACCACTACCAAGAAAATTAAACCACTTCTGTTGTGCATGTATAGTCATGTTTAAGATGCTTATAGGACAAAGATTCTCAGATGTTCTTGGTTCATGGTGAAAGGCAAGTGACTCACCGGAGATGGAGATTCAACCAAGAGATTTATTGGGGGGCTGCTTTAAGGGGAAGAAAAGGAAAAGCAGAGAGAGGAGAGGAGGAGGGCAGAGAGAAAGCAGGGAGCAGAGGAAGAGAGCAGAGAGAAAGAGAGTAGAGAGGGAAGAGAAAGAAGAGGAAGAGGGAAGAGGGGAAGAGGACAGAGAGGAAGAGGGCAGAGAGTGTGAGCTTGCAAGCTTTGGCTTAAGGAGGATTGCATAGGTGATGTGGCGGGTGCTGATTGGCAGGGTGACTAAGGAATGGGGAGCGGACACTGTGTCCAGCAGGGATTGGTCAAGAAAACTTTTGAGTTTGGCACTCTTTGTCTTGGCACCCTTCCACTTGGGGCCCTTCTTAGAGGAGGGGGAGGGGTAAGGGATTCTGTGATGTTCTTAAAAGACAGAAACTTACCTTCAAAGGGGAGTTTCCCATACACCCAACACATGGCTTCCTTAATGTCTCAATATGTTTTTAATGATGATCCTAAAAGAAATGTCATTGTTTATTAAAGGTTAGCCCCAAATTCAACAGCAATAGTTTGTGTAGTATCTGACAGATTTTTCCTATATTTCACTAAAAGTCTGGAAATACTCCTATGTGTTCATAGTAGCATGATTTGGAACTGTATTGGTCAGGGTTCACTAGAAAAACAGAACCAATAAGATACATCTGTGTCAAACAGGGGATTTAGTTTAATGACTTACAGAGGCTGCAAAGTCCCACGGGGGCTGTCTGCATGGTTAGAGCCAGGAAAACTGTATCTGCTCAGTCCAAGGAGGCAGAAACCTCAGCTGGAAAGAGAGACTAGTCTACAGCCCCAGCCCAAGGTCAAAGGCACAAGAACCACCCAGAGAGGCATTGTTGGGAGTCCATACTCGCAAGGCTGAAGAACCTGAAATCTGACAGAGTATAGGTAGCAGACTGGTGACTGCTATAGCTTGCCAAGCATGTGTAAGGTCCTGAGTTCTATCCCCACCAAGCAAAAACAAAACAAAACCCAAGCACACACAAATTTATTTAAGTTTTATAGACGTCTTCAGAAGGAAATGAAGACTCAAAAAGATAGTTAAATCTCGTTGTTTTTTTTTTTTAATAGTAGGTTTGATGAAGAATGGAGAGTCTTGGAGAGATGCAACAAGACACAAGGGATATGAGCTAAATATAATAATCTGGGGGAAATTTATCAGGGCTTGTCCCTTAAGACTCCTCTCTGTGTCCTATGTTTTTGGAGATAAGAATGCACCTTTCCTCTATGTATAGAGAAGGACCTCATACATGAGTATCCTATGCCCTACTTTAGGGGAGGGAAAAACTTCTTCCTAAGTCTTAAGGCGTGCTTCAGGGGAGAAGGGTGGGGAAGAGAGATATTCCTGCCTCTGATATATTCAGTATGATATATTCAGTATGCCAAAGTGCCATATTTTGGGGTATTATTTCTGAATTCTAACATCTACACACACATACACACACACATACACACACACAAATTTGTGAATGCAAATAAAAAGACCTGGAAATAACTAGAAAGTTTATCTCTGTGTGATAACAAAAGATATGATTGAAGGATATGTAAAGCTGAAGACAGTTGTCAGGAAGCCCTTAATCTTGAGCTGTAATGTTTGTATATATTATACACATAGGTACTTTTTACTTTACTAACTTTATTTTATTTATCATTTACATAAACATGTATTTGAATATCATAAATATTATTTAAACATAAAAATAAATTGTATAGCTTATATAATTTATTTAAAGTTTGATATTCTTTCAGTAGCTAACATCCTAGGATAATATATATTTGAATGTCTGATTTGCCTAAAATATAAATAAAAATGAATAGAGGTAAATATTGGAAGAATCCATTCTAAAATCACTTTAAAGATATGCAAAAATAAAAGCTTTCTTTTCTTTTTCCTTCCTTCCTTGACCTATGAAAGCAAGATATGTTCCTAAAAAAAATAAAGATAACATGAGTAAGAAAGAGAGAGTCCTCACTTCGTTCCTAAGCCCAGTCATTGACTATATATATCTTCATTTAAATGTACATAGTTGTTGTTTTTAACTAATCAAATATGAAAACTAATTTGGAGAGCTTTCTAGAGTGACCAGCTAGTCCAGGTTTGCTTGGGACTTTTCTGATTTTAGCACTGAAAATCCTGAGCACTGCCCCACCCTATCCCTAGTGCCAGAGAAACCAAGAGGTTGGTTATTCAGATCACTGAGTTTGTATGTATCTATCTCTTAGTTTTAATAGCTGCTTAATCACTTGTGAAACAGTAATTATTAGTCACTTAAGTTGTTTTCCATTTTTTGCTCTTGTAAACAATTCCATTTGAATTTCTCTGCTTATAAATTGTATTAATTATAACTCAAGTGTCTGAATCATTCTTTCTCTAAGAGGGAGTAAAGTAAATCCCAGTTCAAATCTTTCAATTTTTTGAGGGGGTGGTTTTAAAACATATATCTTTCTGATCAGAGAGCTTAAAGCACACATTTCTGAACCCCAGCTTGGCCCCAGAAAAGTCTCTACATTTTGTGTGTTGTTGACTGCCCAGTTTGTTCCTCTCCCTGAGGCTGACTGCTTTGTTCAGAGCTTCCCACTCTGTGCTGTTGGTGGCTCTGAAGTATGTGATTGGTAGATGACATGTTTCCCTCTCAGTAATTATCCTTTTCCTCTTTCCAGATTGCTGTCTGGCTCAGGGCATATTCCATATCCTTCTCTAAAAACTTTTATAAAGACTTAAGACAATTTTTAAAAGGAATTATATTTTAAGAGGGATAAATTTATAGTTCTACTCCATAGAAATCAATTAACATCTTAAAATCTCCCCAAAGAATCCTGGGTAGAGCAGCCTCCCTTCCCAATGTCAGCTTCCTATATACTCATTTGTCTCCAAGTACCTCCTCCTCCTTCATGACCTTTCCTGTGAGAGTCTCCAGTATATCACACAGGAAACCCAAACCCTGCCTAATAAATCATATAACTCACTACAAGATCTACCCTTCTCTGCAATCCATGTAACAGTTTTTTCCTTTGTACATTTCCCTTCCTATAGGTCTCTGGTATGGAGCAGAAAATGGTTCTCTTGGTCAGTTATGACTATCGTGATTTCTTGGTATGATTTGCACACCTGCTAATTATCTAGCAGTCACACACATATCTGTTTTAGAACTTTTGCTATAGCTGATTTCTAGCATTCTGTCAATATTACATTTTTATAGAGGGCTTCCCTAACCTCCCAATTTATCAAGTCTCCCAGGTAGGGTTGCCAGATTTGAATTTCAGATAAAAAACAATTATTTTTTTGTAAAAGTATGTCCCATATATCTCATGAGCTATATTTATACTAAAAAATTATTCATTATTTATCTGAAATTCACATTTAACTTAGTTGTCTTTATTTTTATTTGCTAAGTCTGGTAACCATACTTCTAGTCATTTCCTATTATAATATTATGTTGTAATTTCTCCTTAAATTTACCATAGCTTGATATTTTCTTGTTTGTTTAGTTGAGGTAGAATAGAAGACATAAGGATAAGAAGAGAGGACACATAGAGAACAGAACAAGTGGCCATGATTTCAACCAGATCTAAAATCCACTTTCATATGAATTAAAAATCCAGATTTAAATGTCATTTTCACATATCTTGATCACAAACAGCACTATTAAATCAATTATTGGACCTTATCTATAGGTACACCAATTTGTAAAACTGTGTGCACAGAGCAGAGTACATGAAAAACAAAGAAGAAAATACCCACCCCCATCCTGATAATGGTGAACATGTAAGTAAAAATTATCTTCATCCCAACAGTGTTTAACACGTCAACAGATGACCCCTAATCCCCGGTACTACATGCCCAGTGACCAGCACAAATAGAACTAAAAATACCCTCTTAGATCATATCCCTGTACTTCTGATCTTACCTGTATGAATAGGCCTAGTTAAGATGTAGCTAATGTGCTCCTCTTCAATGCCCATACTGGACCACCCTGTCTCTCAGAGTACTTTCATTCTTTCCCTCAGCAAAGTCAATCTGCATCTCACTTTGACCTGTCCTGAAATTCCTTTATGCAATAATGTCAAGGACCTTCATGGCCTGAGCCAAGGACCATGTCTTTTGGGGGACTTCTTAGGACACTCATCCCAGTGACCTTCTCTACCATATTGCTAGAACCCAGACCACTGCCTGGTGAATCCTAGATATTCAGCCACTATTCAGTGAATGAGTGCACATCATCAAAGGCAAACAGAGGTGTTCTCTTAGTGCCTTGTGTGCTGTAAGAAATCTCACCTTTCATGGAGTTCCGTTATCACATAATCATACACAGCACCACTTATCCTTTAGTGCTCCCAATTGTGCCCTTCAGAACTTGAGAATGAAAGAGGGGTCATGCAGGTGAAAAAGAAAAGTTGAAAAAGAAAAGCATTGTGATTAGCACTGTAAAAAACAAACAAAAATGAACCACTTAACTAATCTTGATGAGGGTAACTGAGGTCATACATTTTACCAATTTTATATATATATACATATACATATGTAAACTTTTTTCAAAACTTTAATAGAGATATTTAAAAATGTATCAAATTTTAATTCAAGGGAAACTCACTTTATTAGGTTGTTTTGGGTTGACTTTACTTTTTTTTTTTTTCACAAAACTCTGATAATAAACTTCTTTTAATTACCCACAGGGATTTCTGAACTCTTTTGTAAGTATAGTATTATGTGTAACTCATTAATTTTTAACATTTAAAATTTTCTCTTAAGTTTTTTGGGCTTTCTGATAGTTTAAGGAAAGGTAAATCAATACTGATGCTGGCCTGTCATCCTAGCAGCTCAGGAGGCTAAGATAGGAAGATGGCAAATTTGAGGCCAGCCTAGACAACTAAACAAGAATCTGTCTCAAAAAAATAACAAGGACTGAGGATGTACTTCAGTTGTAGGGTGCTTGCCCAATATACTCTAGTCTCTGTGTTCAATCCCCAGTACCTCAAAAACAACAGATAACACTGTTTCTGGTTCATCCTAGCAAATGATTCCCACCCTCTAAAGTTTCCTTCAAATTTGAATTCTGTAACTCATTGATCTACAATAGAATATAAACCTCTATATTGTCTTTTTCCATAAGGAGTTTCCATATTTTCCTTGGGTGAAGTTGGCTAAGTCATTTTTAGGCAAAATGATCCGAGTGATTACAATTGTGCAATGATGAGGAAAATCCAATCAATAAGGACTGATTATGGTAAAGTCATACCTCCAGTTTTCTTAATTGTCAGAGATCAGAGGATTTTTAAATTACACAAGAAGTGATATCCTTGATAATTTTTAACTCTCAATCTACACACATGCAAAACATTAGGTCTCCAGTGTATAGTGGCAATCAAAGCATCTCTGATTATTTCATGGTACATAGAAATCTACCCGATATCAGCTGAGGGTGTTTGATTTTGTAGGCTCTTTCAAAGCAGCTGCTAAAGGTGGCTCAGAGAGCTTCCTTTCCTCAGTCTGAGGACAACTAGGTTTTGCTGAAATGAAAGGATTAAAGAGCAAGAGGCTGGTCAGGGCTTGTAAAGAGCAGGCGCAGGACTCCACTAGAGTTCCCCACAGGCAGTTCTCATCCTGTCTTCTGCTTGGTGTGTACACGTGTGAGTGTGCACACATTAGCTGATGAAACCCTTTCCTGTTACACTCCGACGGAACTAAGCGGGGCGGGTGTCCCTTTAGAGGGTTCTGAAATCTACGAGTCAGCTTCCTTTCTCACTGCTTGCCTCTGACTCCCTCACTGCAAAGTGCTCTGCAGGATCTGGAGGCCTTTGTGTTCAGATTATTTTACTAGCTACAAAAGCCACACCCTTGTGCTACAGAAACAGAACACTTTGTCCTTCCAGGAGGTCTGTACTTTGACCACAGCCCTGGGATTTCAAAGCTGCCTCACTATGGCTTGTCTATTGTGATGTAAAGTGTTGGGCTGAGAGAGTGTCCTGGTGTTAGAATACTGAGCTTTACAATTGGTAGCTCAAGGGCTCACAGGCTAGTAAGGCTTTGGACAGCAGACTATCATTTTAAAAAGGCTCAGAATCTATTTACTAAAATAAGAGAATCCAATGATAGTGAGAGAAACTGGAATAATGGTGTTTTGATTTAGGAAAAAAAGCCATACTTTGTGTATAACCAGTGACTTGAAAAATTGTGCTCTATATGTGTAATAAGAAATGAATTCTATTCTGTAATCATATATAACAAATTAGAATAAATAAACAATTTTATTAAAAAGAAAAGAGAAATGAATTATAGTAGATGGGGTAAAAAGAGAAGATGGGAGGAGAGGGGAGGGGAGGGGAGGGGGGATAGTAGAGGATAGGAAGGGCAGTAGAATACAACAGATACTAGTATGGCAGTATGTAAAAAAGTGGATGTGTAACCGATGTGAATCTGCAATGTGTATACGGGGTAAAAATGGGAGTTCATAATCTGCTTGAATCAAATGTATGAAATATGATATGTCAAGAGCTTTGTAATGTTTTGAACAACTAATAATAAAAATAAATAAATAAAAAGAAAAGGAAAAAGCCAAATTTTAATTTTTAAACAATGTATATTAACTCATAGCAAATACCCATTTATATATATCAGGGCAGGAAATGGCCACTAGTCAAAGCAGGCAGCTGTTGGAGAGAAGTGGTGTCCTGGAAGGAGACTGAGTTACAGCTGGAAACCTGAGTCTCCTGCTTGCTAGCCTGGGAGCAATCACCTTCACGAGATTTTTTTTTTGTATTTAAAAAAAATGCTATTATTTTAGAGCATTATAATTATACACGGTGTTTGGATTCATTTTGACAAAATAATACATGCAAGGAATTTGATTCAATTTCCATTCCTTCCTCTCCCCTCCCCCTGTTCTCTTTCCTCTCTTCCATTGATCTTCCTTTCATTCCTATTTTCTACATACATATAGGTGAAATTCTTTTGGGTATACTTATATTGTAAAGGTAAAATTTCTAAGCTGACTCTAGGCTGCAAGAGTCTGAGTTAAAGTGTAAAAGACTGGGGATTGTAAGGTTTCTAAATTGAAAGGCTTAGGCTAAAAATAATAATAATAGGCCAGGTATTGTTAAAATTCCTCTGCTACCCCCAGAACCTGTAATCTCTGTAGCTGTTAGAACAATACCTGAACTGACCAGTAAATATTTCCATTGATTCCCTGGTTGTTTATTAGCTAAGGGCTCGAAATAGCTCAGATGTAAGCATCCAGGCCACAAAACCAATCAGTTTAAATGTGTACCCCGCTCAGGGGTGACCAATCACCCCTGCCCAGACTGTTCCGGCCAATAAATGTACTAATCATGGCTCAGGGTTGTTGTTCAATTTTC